TGTAAAGTATAGAGACTATCTCTTGGGTTAAAAGGGAAAAGATGTTTGTATTTTGGATCTAAAAGTTGATGGGTGGTATAATCAAAAGTTTTTAATTACTATAATTTTATTTAATTATAATAATTATATAAAAATTAATAATTTATTTTTTTCCAGTAGATAAATATTGTTTCTTTATATTTGTATATTTAAAATGTACTGTATATATCATAAAAGAAACAATACCTCTTACATACAATAACAGCAAGTTTAATACTAGCTTGCATACTGTATATTATCTATACTTAGCTAATATTGAAAAAGAAATTTTAAAACAATATACTAGTTGAAATCCAATTATTCAACAGTATGCCACTCATCAATCACTTGGCATTTGATAAAAAAATTTATCAAATATTCATTAACAATTCAGCAATTATTGTCAAATTGGATATACCAAATTATTGCTGAATATTTGATGAATACTTGATGAATTATTTATTATATGTCAAATAATTGATGTGTAGCATATTGCTGAATAATTGGATTTTAACTAGTGATACTATATACTAAATATAGTTAAAAGTAGTAACTATGCTTAAATTTGATAAGATGTAAAAATAAAATGAAAAAAAAGTATAACTGGAACTATAATCACATAGGTTATTTGTATTGAAACTATATTAATTAAACTATAAAATCTATATAAACAAAAAAAATATCTAAAAGAAAACCAATAGTCTGATCCTTGCACTGGTACTGGACTAGATATATTCCTTGTTAATATAAATAGTAGAATATAATTAATGTTGTTTATTGTTATAATAGTTATTGTTATGGTAGTTATTGTTATTGTTGTTATACTAAAAAACTAGTTTAAACTAGTTTAGTTTTTGCTTTGTTGTTTTGATGAAATATAAGTGAATAATTGAAGAGTGATAATTATCTGAAAGGGGTAAAATGATTTTAGTTTTATTGGACAAAAAGGTTTGAAAATTTTGAAATGATACAGTAAGTATTGCTATAGTAAAGTTGTGTATAAAGATTGTATTAAAACAAACAGTAGACCCAATGACTTTATTTGAATATATTTTTTTGGAAAGTATTTGACTTAGTATATATAATAGTATTAATGTAAATAGTTTTTATATTATAATAAATAAAAGAAGAAGTGCAAGAGAACAAAAGAAAAGAAAACTGCCATAGGCCTTTTCTTTTGCAACCAAAGAATAAATAAGATTCTCAAACTTAAATAGACTTTGATCAGAGGTCCCATTCCACTATACCAGTAGTTTTAAAGGTTCTTGGGTTCTTGAGCTGGGGCTCACTTGCAATAAAAAGTATAAAGTATTTTTTTGATAAAAATTACTATAAAAGGAAAATTTTAATAAAGTAAACATGATTAGAAGAAAAATTAATAAAACTACTGTAATAATAAATCACAAGTAATGATTCTTAGAATTAAACTTTATAAATAAGTAAATTTTAAAGAAAGTAATTTTTTTTATTTTTAAAGTTATACTTAAAGTCATTAGTCAAAAACAGATATTTAAAACAATAGAATAATTTATGCAATACCATATACAATATATTATTTGTTTTTGTAAAGATTTAATAAACAATATGTACTTGTTTAACTATAAAAAAAAAGATAAATTAATAAAACTCTCAGATTTTAATGCATTTTAAATTAATTAAGAAAGTTTTCAAATATCATATAATTTTATCTAGTAATTAAAAGTTATTGCAATATAGTTATAATTTGTTTATTATTTTTTTAAAAAAAGTTAGTAATGATATTAATATCAAAACAATAATTTAATTGTTATTAAATTATTAATATTTTGTTATAATATAATAAAAACCATTAAATTTTAATTAAATCTTCACAATTCAGTTACAAAATCATAATAATCATGTGATCATATTATTAGAATTTAATAGATTTCAGTAAAAAAGTAATTGATGTAAAGTTATATAATTAATATTAAGATACTAAGATATGTCATTATATATAATAGCCTACTACTATTCTAAGTATATTTTTGATAAAAAATAATAGTGCAAAAAAAAAGTAATTATTTAATTTGAAAAATTAATGCTATTTTAATAATTTATTCTATTTTAAAAAGATATAAATATATTCTATAAATACAATTGAAAAATAATTTTGATTAGTTTTTTAATTTGAGTTTACTTGTTATTAATTATTAGATGCATACTTTAATTTTTGATAGCTAATAACTGATAGTTTATAATAGTATATAAAATTAAAATATTATTTTAAAATTTAATTTAGTTATTGTCTTAACTTGTCAGATAACTTATTAACAAGATATGGTTTATTTCAGTTTAATGAAAATTATATAACATAATATCAAATAATTAGAATATATTACTTTGATATAAATGAAACCAATTTAATAAAATTATTGAAAAAAAAGAAATTGTAAAAGAAACTATTCAATAATAATAAAAGCTACTTTTAAATTCAAATTTTCCTAATTAAAAATATATAATTAATATTGCTAAAAAAAGAAATTTAATTAATTTATCAGATTTGATACCTGTTATAAAGGAACCACCTGGAACTATAAAAGAAAAAGTAGTAAGGCTTGTCTAAAAAAAAGTAAACAATAAAAAGAGAAGAAATATTTATCAGTAAAGAACTTAGCTAAATAAAATCACATATTTCAAGTAGAAAAGCCAAAACTTATGTGATATTATATAAGAATTGTTCTAAAGAAGTGATAAACTTGTTAAAAAAGATATCAACAGTATATATACTTTAAGAATCAGATTTATAATTTATTAAATTTTAATTTAAAAAAAAATTTTTAAAAAATAACTCATTTCAAATTAATATATAATATATTTATTTGTTAAATTGCTTATAAAAATATTTTGCAATTGTTTATCAATTGAAAACTAATTAAACTGTTATGATTTTATTGTAAAAGGAATTTTATAAAAACAAAAAATTTTATAGATTTGATAAGATTGTTTAAATACTGTTGAATAATATTGTCTTATATGTTAAGAAATAGATTTCTTTTGGATTTTTATAATTTGGAAATTTTTTATAATAAAAATTATAATTTCAAATACTAATTTATTAATAAAAAGTCATGATGACTTTAATTAGTTTTATTATAAATTTGGTTTGAAAATAATTCTTTAAAAATCAACAAAATTTTAAGATGCTTTAATATCAGATTTTAATAAATGGATAGTTTTGGTTTTATTTAATTTAATCAAATGGTTTTTAAATTATGGATATATTTTTTTGTCTTGATTTTTTACGAACTAGACTTTATGTAATATATTGTATATACAGTATACTGTATGTAATTCATTAAAATAATTGTAAATAGTTATACAGTATAATTAATGGATTTTTTTTATTTAATATACGTACCATAAAATTTTATTATCAAAGGGGAAATCACAGTTCCAAGTCATAACAAAATAAAGATAACTATTAAAAAAAATTCAACAAAAAAATTTTTTTCTAGAATATTCATTAATTATTATACTTGAAGAAAAGTGCCAAACAAATTGTCAAGAACTTAGAAGATTTCTTTTACTTTGGCTCTACAATTTAAAAATATTATTATCATAACCTTTATCTAAAATTCTTTTTCACGTAAATAGAAAATAATTTTCTTTATAATAATTAAATTTTAGATTTATATTACTTTGGCTCTACATTTTAAAAATATTATTATCATAACCTTTATCTAAAATCCTTTTTCACGTAAATAGAAAATAATTTCTTTATAATAATTAAATTTTAGATTTATACGTATAAATAGAAGTTCCATACAGTAAGAAGTTAAAGTTGACTATGTAGTGCAACATGAATAAAGGTAACATGGCCCACGCCGAGTGCTCGATCCCTGCGGCATTATCATGAGATCTGGCTTAGTCGGATATTATATTATAGAAAGTGACAAAAAATGGAATTGAAAAATTCAAAAATATTATAGTAAGACAGGAGCCGAGAAACCTATCTAATCCACGACACAATCGCTACGATATCCATGTATCGGGAGCTGAGTCGATTCATAAGAATAATTTCACCATGTGGTTTTATAAACTTTATGAACTTTATATATAATTAAATCTATCCATTATCTTTATATAATCAGTGTGAAAAATGATAAAAAGAAAGAAAAATGAACAAAGACATTTTTTTTCGACCAATATCAAATCACCTTACCTTTATTAAAACACCATTATTACATACCGATTGCTACACGAATCTTAGCTACTCTTGGCAACCCGGTCACCGTTATAGTAGCAATTTAAATAAGACAACTTTTGAACTTTTGAAACGTTTAAGGCTTTGTACTAATACAGTTTATAAAAAGAAGGAACTAATAACTTGTATAACCAACACAGTACGTTACTAATACAATCTGGTAAAGGCTACTTGATCCGCGTAACTTTTATTTCACTCATTTAGACAAAGAATGTGTTGATAAAAAAACGAAGGGAGAACGTATATTCGCTTGTTTATATATTTCTCAATTATCCTTACGATGGTCGACATTGGTTGAAATGCACACACTTTCCCTGACGTAATATAAAAATAATTTATTTATCCTGACGATTGTTCTCTATAATTTGTGACGAAGTCTTGTTCCTTCAACATTTGATGATTGATGCTTACTTGATATTATTCGGACGTTTTATTTGAATGTTTGGTTGCCTGGAAACCTCTAAATTCGTTGCACCGTAGATATTTGTTTCCTTGTGAGAATCTAGAGTATGCTAGAATACATTAAGCATCGAGTATAGGTCCGTCTCCGAAAATGTCTTCAACCTCAATGGTGGTGCTAGTCGAGAGATTATTGACGCCTGAGTTCAGTGTACAACTCCAAAGAGGGTATCCTTAGATACTGTTATACTATTACCAGGTGTCTAATGCGTGTCCTGGTTATCTGATTGCCACTGCAAATGCTTTATATTTAACAACGCATTAGGTGGTTAACCCCAAGGCCATAAATCGTTCCTTTTTGATTGCTATTTCATTTATTATTTTTTTTGTAAAATTCAAATATTTGCTGAATGGAGATTGAACTTTTGGCGGCAGTGGTACAACTAAATGTTAAATTTTCTGCTTATCAAGCTTTGTGAATTCCAAACGTTCTGAACATGATCCGACTTAGCATACTGATGAGTCTTTAATTGCATTGAGCTGCGACGATGAAGTTATAACAAGATATATGGTAGAGTTACTGTCTTACCGAAGATATTAGCTTTCCTCCTCCCATCGTGTTCTTTGTTTCTTTTGCCTTTACCTTATTGATTTATTCAGATAGACGATGTTTCAATCAGAGAATAATGCATTGATACTACAGGATAAATAAGAAGAGGTCAAGTTTCTAGAATTTAAATTACACTTCGATATATTGTATTATTTCAATAAAATTTTATGATATTTATAGAAATGCACGACTCGTATCCTGACATTTTTTTACCAAAATGATGGTTTTTTTTTATTTTTATTAAAAAAATTTACCTCTTAGATCATTTGTCTGTTTGTCGATAAAATAAATTTGATCAACGTTTCACTCCACGAACATGCTGTTAAAAAGCGCAAGAACAAACTCTCATAATTCCATCATTATGCTACTGTTAGGCCAGCGGGTTTGTCAGGTAAGTCAATATCTCTTGAAATATGAAATAAATTTCTGATTCGAAATTAGCAAAGTCATTTTATACAACTTGGGAGTTTTATTCAATCATATACAATATATTATACTCTTCATCTTTCATGATGATTTAATGAAACTAATTTTACCAAGCATCAGAACTGTCATCGATCTTCGTTGACGACTTAATCTTGAGGGGTAGATTTACACCCCTAATTGGCCTGAAAGTGTTTCATTAAACCTGCAAGTGTACGTGTCTATTTTTATGAACTGCAACATGACCAAATTGAATTTCTGGGTTCATAAAATTTACCAAATTTGATAAAACCAGGGTCAAAAATGGCTAATTGAACTCAAAAGTGTAATAAATACTCAATTCGCTGGCTATTGGTCACGATGCATGTGCGCATATATCGTTTATAAAGTAACTACTGAACTGATTATCAACTTTATTTATATAAAAGCATAATGAGTAATAATTCAAGCGGTGTAATGAAAAATAAACAAAAAACAAAGGCAATTGCTTTAATGAATGTGGTTGTTAATTGCTCGTATATTTAATATTGTTTATACCCCTTTACAGATCAACCACTTGATGTGCCTGGACGCCACGATCTAAGAACAATTGGTATTCTTTAGACAAGTCAAATATTATGCAAATTACGTATTGATAAGCGAAGCCAACGTAATGCTCCTTTCACATAAATTCCATACGAACATTAGATGCACTATATTTTGAGTAATGTCATTTAAAGAAATAAATTGTGGATATAAAGTATACATATTATCTAATAACCTCTGTCTTCGTTTCGTGATATTACATCATTAATAATCTTCGGCGTCAGTACTTCCATTATCTATATTACCGACAATCGCCTTGTTAGTATTGAATAAAGTTCATCATTTATGAATAATCGTTATACGGTATTTGCATTTGGTTGGTTACTTTCTCCTGTCCCCTTGACTAGCAAAATTTACAGGAATCATATTTATTGACACCACTTAGGACTAAAAAATCCGTCCACTGTGCTTACGCTGAAGAGATTATTCTGATAACGGGAGAGGTTTCTTTTATATATGAGTGATTATAATGCCATAACTGTCTTATTATGTTATGAGACATCCTCACCTCAATAAATTTTACGGTCTATTTAAGTAGTGCTGTCAAGGGTAATTAATTTTACCGTTTAATAATAAAGAACTTGATATTTGTCACACATATAAACAATCATACTATCGATCAAGGACGTAGTATTTTAGGCGGAGCCTCCGTTTTTCCCCGCACAATAAATGCAAATAAGGTTATAATTCGGGTGGAAAGTGACGCCGAATAATTATCAAATTTGCAGCTCAATTTTCATTTCCTTTCATAAAGGCTAAATAGTAGCTTTTACAGCATCCTATCCTGCCATATTTGGCCATAATGTACTGTATGTTCTAAATTATGTTTGTGATTTGCTTCTTTTACTTTGTATAAATGTATGAATTAAAATGTTTCACAATTGAAGAACGTTTTTTTTTATTGATAAGAATATCACTATAGAATCATCGATGAGAAAACAAATTACAGTACTGAACAACAACCACACCAAATGAAATAACCTTGGGACAATCTGTGAACGGATGCGATTATCCAATAAACATTTATTTCTTATTTTAAAAAAAAAAAGAGATACTAGTCCATATGACATAGATACAGTAATAATGTGCGTGAACATGTGTACAGTGCATTGTACAAATTTTTTGACACCCTAATCAGTATATATTGTACTTTTAGAATTTCCCACGCTGACGTTTTCATTTTCCCACCTTTGTCATTGGCTTTTTTGGTAAGTTTTTATTGCCGTATAAAAAAAAAAAATGCAATGCATAATTTAACCCCATTGTTGCGATAAGATGTCATCACAAAACTACTCTATCTATACAGTATGCAATATGTTTATTTATTGCTTCTGGAGAATCACAATATTATTGGATCCCTTCTTATTTTCTTTAATTACAAATAAATGGATCGGAAGTCCTTTTGTTACTGCCATTTGGTGTTTAGTGTACGAGTATATTACGTTGGTACTCATGAATGCTAGATTTCCAAATAAAGTTCATATGTATAACCTTTTTCTAGTGTGATAATCATTTCCGAGTGTATGTACGTATTTTTTTTATCCGATATAGTACTCACAAATCAGGGTCACTGAAAAGGAAAATAATAAAACCACCACATAAGTGTCGTATCAGGAACGGAAATACTGTTGTCGAGATCTAAAACCAAAAAGAATTAAATCGTCAGTAGATTATTTTGAATATATCATACATAGAAACATAAAATTTAAAATATTCTAACTCATCTCATATATTCTTATAGTCTGTTAAGACCTGTGGGTTGAAATTATGTAAAAACAAGGAATTATTGAAGAGAGCTGATATGGTGTATGATAACATAAAACTCCGCAGATAAAAAAGACATAGGTATAGTCCCATTTCATGCATTAGATTCCCAGAGTAAGACCTTGTGATTCGATCCTAGCGCTTTTATATAAATAGTATGTACTATTGTACGTTGTCCTCGGTTTGCTAAAACCATTAAATACCGATTGGTTTGTACCAAGGTTTATCAAAAATGCACGGACTGATTTCATTGTCCGGATAATAGCGCAGGACATACAGTATACTGTACTGTATATTCTCTGCAAACTGTGTTGACGTCACGTGGGATTTCTGTCGGTCCATCACGTGATAAAATAAATAAAGTCATTATTTTTGTGACCACCTATTATTATTCTGATATAACAATACTGTATATCTTAAAATCCGGGCTTCATTAATACATGTCAATAGCGTATTGGGTTATTTTCAAAACAGCGATGGTACGAATATTACAGTATTGCCATTTTTAATGTTAATTCAAACCTGTTCTATATTTGTTTTTAGACTTACTTACCAGAAGTTTTAGTATACCGTATGAGAAGATAATCCCACGTGTAGCGTAAATGAAACCCCGCATGTTTCTGTATTTAAGATGTGCGGGATGTCTATCTGATGCCAAACCTTAAAAGACGGCTTCGTTACTCAAGCAAACTGAATTTGGACAAGCTGGAAATATTTGATTGCTATTATATAACTTCTGAAATTAAGTGGGAAAAAAATTATTGTTATTGTTATTATTTTACATATATGTGCGTATCAGAAATAAAATTTACGAGAAAATAATTATGCCATGTATAATTGCTAAAGTACAGTAAAGATTTGATTGGAATATATAATTTTTACTAGCTGTTCTCCGTGGCATTTAAATTTTCTTTTTATTGTGGGCTGGTGCCTTTTCTTTCTTTAATCTCAGCACGCTGTTATCACATTATTAAATGCACTAACTTATCCAACATGTACTTCCATCACATTATAGACTTTATGTTGCCCGTTTCCTTTTGACTTTATGGATATGGCCGTGCTTGTACATCGCGTTGTATATTTTTTTTAAAGAAAGATTGACAGGTTACGTTGGTAAGGGATATTTTGTATAATATACAGTATCACCTAATCGCTGTGTTCATTTAGAGAAAGAAATTGAAATATAAAACCTCCTTAATCGCATTTTCCTATTAATAAATATTAATTATTTTTTAAAAAAAGAACCGCAGATGGAATATTAGACGCATTTTGATAAAACGTATAAAAGGACATGCCTTCCATGGGCCAAATTTCAAACTGGAATTTTTTATTCTCTGATTTTTCCCGATAAAACATTTTCTAGATACTGATTTTATCAATGTCGAATAATTCGAATGGTCAACAGCCTGCTCAACAACAACAAATTCATCGATTAGTTGCCCCTCCTCAACAAGGGAATTTGCAAGCTCTCGTTCCCGCAATAGCTCCACAATACGTTCTTGCTCCAACTCTTCAACAGGATGGATTCGATTTAATTCACGGAAACCCATTTTTATCAAACTCTACTCACACTTCAGTTGCACCAGATTTTACAAAGTTTTTGTTGGAAGGAGATAACAATTTGTGTAGAAATGAATAAAAAATCGCCAAATTCTCAAAATAAATAATGTTTTTATTTATTTATTTTTTTGCGATATTAATTATTTATTTTTCCTTATCACTCCACTTCCATCCTTTCCTTTTCCATTCATTTCTTCTCTTCTCTTTGTCATTCAATCCTTTCCCACCTCACCCCTTTTCATCTCATTCCTTCTGTTTCCCTTTTCCTTTTCTCTCTCCTCTCTCTTCTTTTCCATTTATTTTTCCCTCTATTGCTCTCCATATTTCTATTTATTCTTCGTTATTTTACAACTAAATTTGATATGATTAGCTGTTTTTTTACTTGACATACAATATATGAATATTAATTGTAATGACCAACATTTCTTAATTTTATACTTATTTATATTTTATGAGAAACTTCTTATGCTTTATAGTGTTGTAGGTAAGTTGTGACTCAGGTGCTTGACACAATATTGCGTTGCATCTTTACAGCGTCTGAGAAGGAAAAAATTAATATATAATAGAGTGACGTATGCAAACATGTGGCTCTATTTTTTTTAGAAAAATCTAGTAGTCTTTGATTAGCATGTACTGTATAAATAAAATAATAGTTTTCTATGTACATACTAATAAAAACCAAAAATTTATTTAAATATTTTCGAACAAAAAACGTTTGGCTGGTAATCAATACCGCTTATTTCGATCCGCAAAAAAAAACTGTATTGGTACTATATTTATAGAATAGACTGCTTTAAATTATGTGGGTGGTGTAAGAAATTTGTCTACCACGTCTACTTTAAACTTGCAACAAAAAAAGATTGTATTATAGTTATTTTATGAAAGGAAACTTTGGGTGGTTTTATTTTTCTTTCCTTTTTTTCATTTATTCTTCTTTCTTTTTTTTCAATAAGAATCATTGTGTATATTATTTTTGAGATTTTTCTTGTATTCAAACGTCAAAAGTTTCTGGGTTCAAATTGCAGTGGTTTGTAATATCACGTAAACCAAACAAATGATTATATAAGCGATATGTTGATTATCTTTTGGGTGCCTTTTCTGCTAAAATACGGGTGATCATAATCACTTCGATCTGAACAATATGACACTATAATCGCAAGAAAGCTTGTTCTTTATTTATCTGATAATCTGAAAAATTATACTAAAGCAGTGATACATAAGTCTGTGAGATCGTATTTCATATGTGATTGCTTTAAGTTGACTTTGCCGCAGATAAATTACGATATTTGGAAATGGCAGTCGAGATATGCTCGGTTAAAAAATAATTTAACAGGCAATACCTTTTCTTTTTGTAATGATAACCTGCAATGTAATTAATAAATTTGTGATCCTTTCAAGAAAGAATAGATTTTTATTTGGAAGGAATTTCTCACTTGTAAATATGACAATGAACATCGGAAGATATTATTTGTTGTATGTATAACGCTATTGTGCCTGATAGGAGAATGAAAATTTTTACACGCACAAATTTGGATATTCATACGAAAAATGAAATTCAATCTAATGGTATATGTCATGCTATATTTGCTATTGATCAGCCGATATTCATGGAGAAAAAACTCCGGTCATTTAGATGGTCGAACCCGATACCACCCGTTTAATTTAAGACTGTTTCAGATCGGACTACAGAAATACTGTAATCAATCCATTTTGGATTGAATTATTGATTACCAGAATATCTTGGCTTGGTTAATGCATCTCCTATGAATGCAAACGTGTTTAAATATTATTGGTATTTTTAAAAAATAATTATATAACAATAATAAAATTTCATTTTAATAATTCACTAATACATGATAAAGTTATTTAATGATCAGTTCAATTTATTTACTTTATCTAATCAGTTTTGTTATTTTTATTCAATATGTTAATTTCATTTGCTATTTTTCATTCGAATTCATCGATTTTTAAATCACATTAAATTAACATTACAATAAAATCTTCATTTAATAAACATTTCTTTATTGATAAATACTTCTTTTTTAAAAGTCATATACATACATACAGTGGCAATCATAAATAATGCAACGGGGTTTTTTTTTTAGTTATATTGTATTATTTCATGCATTTTGGAATAGATTTTTTTTAAATAAAGAAAAAAAAATTGCAAATAGTTTTTTTTTAAATATTAAAATTTTAATATTATTTAATATTACCAATATAAAAATAATCGCGCATAAATTATAAAACACGTATATTATTTTTGCTTGTTTTCAACAAAGATCAGGTGGCATAATCTGTACTATGTAAACATGTATAAAAATGTAAATTTTATTGTTGATTTTGTGACTTATACAATGTTAGAACTTATCGATAATAACTAAAAAAAAAACATACAACTCCTACTCAACAAACACAAATATTGCTTTCACTTCAAAAAGGATACACTACAAGAGAAATAGGTCGAATTTACAATGTTAATTTTTCTATAGTCTCACGTATTAAAAAAAAATAGTTAAAAAATCATACACTTGAAGATTTAAAAAAAATTGATTATCCACCTTTGTTAAATGAGCCAAATCAAAGAAGGATTGTAAATTTAATTACTTTTCGCCAGTGTTCTACTGTTGTACAAGTATGATTTTATCTGAAAGAAAAAGAAAATCTCGAAATTTCAGAGTTTACTATTTGTTGTATACTTCAAAGTCATAGTTTAGTATCAGGAGTTAAGAGAAAAAAACCTTATTTAAGTAAAAACTTTCAAAAAAAATAACCTGGGTTTGCAAAAAAATATAATAATTGGTCTATTGAAGATTGGTCTAAAGTAATCTGATCTGATGAGTCAAAATTTCAGATTTTTAGATCAGATTGTAAACAGTATTATTGGAAATGTCCTGAGGAACTATTAAACATTTTCATATCAAGCATACAGTAAAGTTTGAAGGTGGATCAGTTATAATTTGAGGTTGTTTTACTTCTTGTGGAGTTGAAGGGTTTTGTAAAATTGATGATACCATAAATAATAAGTTATATAGACAAATTCTTTATGAGGATTTTTTGAATACTATTAAGGATCGTGAATTTAATATTAAAGAAATCATTTTTCAACAGGATAGTGCATTTGTTTATATAGCAACTTAGGTACAATATTGGTTTAAAAGTAACAAAATTAAGTTTTTTGATTGGCTGCCCAATCTTCTAATTTCAACTTTATTAAACACTTATGGGTTAAGGTTAATTGTCAACTTAGAAATCTTCCAGAACAAATTTTGAATAAAAAAGACCTCTATAAAAAAATTCGGATGATTTGATAGGAAATTGATATTAAAACCTGTACAAATTTAATTTTTTTGATGTCAAAATGAAATCGTGCTGTAATTAAGATTCAGAGTGACTATACTAGATGGTAAAAATAAAAAAAATTTAGATAAAAAAAATAAAAAAAAAATTTTTTTGATATAAAAAATTTTTTAGTTATAGAATTATGTTGTTATAAAAATACATAAAAATAATGCAATATGAAAATTAAAATAAAATTGATGCTTATAAAATTTTATTTATGAATATTTTTTTTATTTTTTATTTATGAAAGTGATACTATTCACAAATAATAATAAAAAAAAACTAACCAATATACTGTACTTGGAATTGTATGAAATAATGCAATCCAATTAAAATTTTTTTCTATTGCATTATTTATAATTGCTACTATATATTGTATAATATATATTGAAAAACATCATTACAATTCTTTTTATTAAAGATTTTTTATCTAAGTTGTTACTTCTTGAAAAAATAAATTTATCAATTAAAAATTTAAATTGAAGGATGCAAATATTTTTTAAATCAATTGTTTTTATTAATTATCTATTATTATTATTCAAAGTTATCAAGTAATTTGTTTTTTATATTTGTTTTTTGCCTATGCAATTTTTTGTATTAAAAATAATTATAATATGATATTAATATATAAATAGATAACAAAAAATTTATTTAGATTTTTATGATTACTAGTCAACTCTTGATAAATATCCCATTATTAAATCATGTACATTATACAAAAATAGTTTAATTAATGCATATTATTAAATGCATCAATTTCAATACTTCTAAAGTTTAATTTAACTAAAATTAGTTAAATTAGTGAAACATTTATTGAGAGTCATAAGTATGTCAATCTGATCATTAGTTAATTTACAGATGATTATAACATATATATATAATATGCTATATGTATAATAGTATAGAGCAAAACTCGTATCTGTATGCTAAAATATGAAAAAAAAATTTTTAAAATAAATATATATATATTTTTTTTTTTTTTTTTAATCGTAAAAGGGCATTAGATGCAAAATTTATTAAGTATATGAATTGATACACAAATTAC